ATTCATGGATTTTTTTTTCACATTCTGTCTCTCACAGTTGAAGTGTACCTCTGGTGCAAATTACTGACCTCTGTCATCATTTTAGGTGGAGGAACTTGCACAATCGGTGGCTGACTAAATACTTTTTTGCCCCACTGTACGTCAACCCTTGCATAACCCTTTATAGGTTATGCAAGGGTTTATAGGTTCTGTCAGAGGTTTCTTCCTGTTGAAAGGGAGTTTTCCCTTGCCAGGGTCGCCAGGTGCTCGCTCATAGGGGGTCATTTGGTTGTTTGGGTTTTCTCTGTATTACTGTAGGGTCCTAACTTTACAATATAAAGTGCCTTGAGGTGACTGGTGTTGTGATTTGGGACTATATAATTGAAACTGAACTGAAAGTTTAACACAAGAATAATAACACTGACTAAGCACATCTACAATGACAACTCTGGATGTTTCATAGGCTTTTCTCTGATTTTCAACCGTCATTTTTTTTCAGCGGGTACAGCTGATTATGGATATATTTTTTTGAAAGTGTGGCGTGTTATTACAGCACTTGAATTCAGTGAGATTATTCTTTCACAAATGACTGCAAAGGCATGCTGAATGGCTAGGTAACTGATTCTATACACCCTTGGCACTAAAAAGATGAAAGATTAAGAAGTGTGGCACAATACCTTTTGTCCGAATAGTGTGTGATCATCACAAATATATTAATATTCATCAAAACAAACACCCTAAAATATGCAGAAAATGGGCCTATATTGTGCAAAAATGCCAATGATCAACAATACAGAGTCATAACTGAAATAAATTCTGCTTTTATTTATTTTTTTATTTTCTCCCATCATGTTATATTGAAAGAATATCACTTTCACTTTTGCTAGCGATCCAAGTGAACAGCTAAAAAACAACCAGAATGGTGGTTTGTCCCATTATAAACTTTGTAAAGTGAAATCACAGGAAAGGAATGAAGTCACACCTGATACCACAACTCAGACTTACAGTGGCTGATACTTTAAACCCCTGTAACCAACTCCGCTGAACTGTATCTCTGAGTTTTCTGCATTTTTAAGGAAAATATAAGTAATATTAAACAAATCCTAACTGTCTCTCAGAGAGCTCAGCCTGCAACTCAATGCTGATTAAATCCAAGGAGCTTCTGGGTGAATCGGGCTCATTATATCAGTACACGTGAGGCATTGTGATCATATTTTGGTGGCGTGTTAGAAGGGAGTTGAAAAGCTGTTATGTCTAGTATTTGAACAATGCCAACCCCAAATAGCATTAAAAGAATTGGTCTGTTAATGATGCATGTCTGAGATGTACAAGTTGATCAGTTTCACAAGGACTGCCATGTTTCTCAAACAAAAAGCTTTCACTCTAAAGCATGTAAAATATGCTATAATCACAATCACTGCCTGCATGCGCTCGGTTTACTGTTTCCATGCCAGAAATAGCTGGCATTCGAAAGAGCTTTTAACCTTACCCTGAATTGGGTGAGAGACAGATGTAGCATTAGGTTTTCATAAAACATCTGGAAGTTAAGATTACTGCGGTACCGCTTCACCGTTAAAACATTTAAGAGAAAATGTTCAACCACAAAA